CGCAAACTCATGCCAGCCAAGACATTTGCTGGCGTCAAGGTCCATGTGGTTGACAAATACCAAGGAGAAGAAAATGACATCATCCTCCTCTCATTAGTGCGGAGCAACGAGGAAGGCAAGGTGGGTTTTCTCCAGATATCCAACCGCATCTGTGTGGCCTTGTCCCGTGCCAAGAAGGGGATGTACTGCATTGGAAACATGCAGATGCTGGCCAAGGTGCCCTTGTGGAGCAAGATCATCCATACTCTTCGAGAGAACAATCAAATAGGCCGCACGCTCCGGCTATGCTGCCAGAACCATCCCGATACCCACACTTTAGTATCCAAAGCTTCTGATTTCCAAAAAGTGCCCGAAGGAGGCTGCAGCCTACCCTGTGAGTTCCGGCTCGGCTGTGGGCACGTCTGCACCCGTGCCTGTCACCCCTATGATTGCTCACACAAGGAGTTCCAGTGCATGAAGCCGTGCCAGAAGGTCATGTGCCAGGACGGGCACCGGTGCCCTCTGGTTTGCTTCCAGGAGTGTCAGCCTTGTCAGGTGAAGGTGCGCAAAATCATTCTTCGGTGCGGCCACGAACAAATGGTTCCTTGTTCCATGCCTGAGTCAGATTTTTGCTGCCAAGAGCCTTGCCCCAAGGTTCTGAAATGTGGGCACAGGTGCAGCCACCCCTGCGGTGAGGACTGTGTGCGTTTATGTTCGGAAATGGTCACCGTGAAACTCAAGTGTGGGCACAGCCAGCGGGTGAAGTGTGGTAACGTGCAAGACCTCACGTATGACCTGCCAGTCAAGTGCACCACCAAGTGTGGCGCCGTCTTGGACTGCGGGCATCCTTGTCCCGGCTCCTGCCACAGCTGCTTCGAAGGGCGCTTCCACGAGCGCTGTCAGCAGCCCTGCAAGCGCCTGCTCATCTGCTCACACAAGTGCCAGGAGCCGTGCCTCGGCGAGTGCCCGCCCTGCCAGCGGACCTGCCAGAACCGCTGTGTCCACAGCCAGTGCAAGAGGAAGTGCGGGGAGCTGTGCAGCCCCTGCGTGGAGCCCTGTGTCTGGCGCTGCCAGCATTACCAGTGCACCAGACTCTGCTCTGAGCCCTGCAACCGGCCCCCGTGCTACGTGCCTTGTACCAAGCTGCTGGCTTGTGGCCACCCCTGCATTGGTCTGTGTGGGGAGCCATGCCCCAAGAAGTGCCGTGTCTGCCACCAGGAGGAAGTCACCCAGATCTTCTTTGGCTTTGAGGATGAGCCCGACGCCCGCTTTGTGCAGCTAGAGGACTGCAGCCACATCTTTGAGGTGCAAGCCCTGGACCGCTACATGGATGAGCAGAAGGATGACGAAGTTGCCATCAGGTTGAAGGTGTGCCCTATCTGCCAGGTGCCCATCCGTAAAAACCTCCGCTACGGAACCAGCATCAAACAGCGACTGGAAGAGATTGAAATCGTCAAGGAAAAGATTCAGGGCTCCGCAGGGGAGATTGCAGCCAGCCAGGAACAACTTAAGGCCCTGCTAGAGAGCAAGAGCCTCCTCCATCAGCAGCTTCCTGAAGACTTTGTGATGTTGAAGGAGAAGTTAGACCAGAAAAATCTGTCCGTGAAGGACCTGGGCCTTGTTGAGAATTACATCAGCTTCTATGGCCACTTGGCGGGCCTGTGGGATTCTCTGAAAAAGGTGAAGGTCTCAGAGCGAGAGAAAGTGGGGATTCGACTAGAACAGGTCCATGAGTGGCTAGCCAAGAAGCGTTTGAGCTTTACCAGCCAGGAGCTGGATGACCTCCAAAGTGAAATCCAGAGGCTCACGTACCTGGTGAACCTCCTGTCCCGCTGCAAGATAGCAGAGGGGAAGATGAAAGGTAGCACAGCAGAAGAGGTCTACAGTGTCCGGAAGATCCTTGAGAAAACATGTAAGTTCACCCAGGAGGATGAACAGCTTGTGCAGAAAAAGATGGAAGCTCTGAAAAATACCCTTCCCTGCTCTGGCCTGGGCATCTCAGAGGAAGAACGAGTGCAGATAGTCAATGCTATGGGTTTTCCTCGTGGCCACTGGTTCAAGTGCCCCAATGGCCACATCTACGTGATTAGCGATTGTGGGGGAGCCATGCAGAGGGGCACATGTCCTGACTGTAAGGAGGTGATTGGGGGCATAAATCATACTCTGGAAAGGAGCAATCAGCTTGCTCCCGAGATGGATGGAGCCCAGCATGCTGCCTGGTCTGACACAGCCAACAACCTGATGAACTTTGAGGAGATCCAGAGGATGCTGTAGGAAGATGGCACACCGCTGCCTTGTGCCTGGCCGCCTCCCGGCTAGGGTCGGCTCCCTCTTGAAGGAACCGAAGTTTGTTTTTTATTATTGTCCTTTAGTCTTAGCACCTACTTAAGGATCCACTTTTAGGGGTTGCCCACATTTGTTTCTAGATTTCCCCTGCGCTAGAATAAGCACTTTACCTCCAGAACTGAGAGCAAAGTTAACAGATTTCTTCTCTTTTTTTCTCCTGCAAGTTAGTGGACAGGCTCCCTGGAGCACGTTTGGGGCTTCCACCTTGGGGTACCTACCGGTATCTCCGGGTCCTGACTCAGTCAGATGTTTTTTCTGCGGTGCTCCAGGGGCACAGTGTATGAACTCAGTGAAGCAGACTGAATGCTAATTGCCAGGCCCTAACTTGTAGACTAACTTTAATTTTAATAAACAGAGGTCCAGAGGAGTTGTTTATGAACTGCTTATCCTTTCAAGGAGCACAAAAATCCCTCCCACCCTCCTCCTTGGGCACCCTCGCTCCTGGAGACGGAGGCATGTGATAAGACAAAGACTTCAGTGACTAACCCTGACCCAGTTACATATTCACTGAGAGTGGGAAAGGTGTGACTACCCACAGCTGGGGGGCTTATGCAGCAGGCCCAGGCTAACCTAAGGAGTGATTCCCCAATACCCTCTCCTATGACCGGCACTTTGGGATGGTGGAGGTTTCTTTGTCTGCAGGAGGAGTAGTTCAGTAGCAGTGCTGGTTACCCAGGGCCCTGAATGGAACTAAACTTACATTTGGTACCAGCAGCACCTATCCAAAGTGTGACCCTTTGTTCCAACACTATTATAGCTTTTCCTGGGCAGGGTTAGCATGCCAGCAGCTTCTGCAGGCCCCAGACCCATGCCAGAAGCCAGCCCCCAGGCCTGCTGCCTGCATACATTTTCCCTCAGTTCAGTGTTCCTAGAACAGACACTTAGGCATCTCAGGTCTTTCTAATGTTGGTGAGAAAAATGTCCTTTTCCTATGTATGCATATCCTTTTTTGTCTTTACTATGCACTTTAACCTATAAAGCCAATTAATAAAAACGATGATTGAGAAATTTCAGTGGTCCACATTTGTCGTCAACTGTTAGAAGCAGCTCGGGCGGCTTGAGACAGTGAGGATGCGAATGGAGGCACTGCCTACAAGGAGGCCAGTCCTGTTTCTGTGGTACAGGGTTTTTATTTAGCTGGTGAGTCATTTTTACTCAAGGTAAAAAGAATGTTTTTGTATAAAAAGGTTTAACTTGGAAGTTTCCTTCCCTAGAGACAACTCTGTTAACCGTTTCCTGAATCCTCCCGGAGGTAAGCTATGCACATGCAATGTATAACCCCTTAAAAAAAAAAGTACCCAGTTCTGCACTTGGCTTTTTTAACCTAACAACCTTAGCTTGGAGATTTGGTTTAGATTAGATTAGAATTTGATTTCTGTAAGGACATACACACAAAGAGTCAGCATACTCCCATCATGCCAGGTATGCTGTTATTTACTGAAATGGAGCCTTCTGTTGATGACTGTTAGGTGCAGCCTAAATGAATACCTTTGAACACATTCTTTTAATGTCAAGGATATGTGCTACTGGGTAACTATTACGATTTTTGAGCTGGTGGGGGTGGTGTGTATGTACTTGAAATTATATAGGACAGACTACAACCATAACAATTTTCTCAAGAGATATCTCCGATCCTTCATCTAGTTGTCAAAGGAACCTATGATTCAGAAAGGATGAGAACCACACTCTACAGGGTAAAAGCTGTTTTTTGCAACAAGGAGCAAATTTATCTGGGATTCCTTGTGTCCCCTTTGAGCTTCCATCTCTCCAGTAGCACTTCCATAGCACAGTCAGTATGGGTTCAGGTAGACCCTGGTTTCAAAAACCTGAACTCCCAGTGTAACTTTGGAAAATTACTCCATTTTTTCTGAACACTCTGTTTCTTTATGTGCAAAAGGGGGATGACTACCTCTCCCACAGAGTGTAATGAATTTAATGAGACAGCACTCAGTACACAGAATGTCTGGTACATGGCTGATGCTCAGTGGATGACAGCTCTTAGTTCTAGGACAGACAGACATCAAGAGAACTTCTAGGAAGAACTTCCTCCACATCCAGCTCCTCTACAAGCATCAAGATGCATTGGAAGTAGATGGGGTAGACTATGCTATTGAGGGATGAACAGAAGAATAAAATATACAATTCAGATTGGTTTATTCTCCCTCCCAAAATATACTTCTATTTGTTGTTGTTTTTTTCTACACCCTACACGGGGCTCAAACTCACAACCCCAAGATCAAGAGTCGTACACTTCTCTGAGCCAGCCAGGCACCCCCCCATTTGGTATCTTCTTTATTTGAAAGTTAATCAACAAGAAGAGCCTTGGCTGACTCACAGGGATGCTTAGGAAGTAACTCCGCAGACCAACACCCCCCCGACCTTACATTCTTTTTTTCCTTTTTTTTTTTTTTAATTTTTTTTTTAAAGATTTTATTTATTTATTTGAGAGAGAGAATGAGAGACAGAGAGCATGAGAGGGAGGAGGGTCAGAGGGAGAAGCAGACTCCCTGCCGAGCAGGGAGCCTGATGCGGGACTCGATCCTGGGACTCCAGGATCATGACCTGAGCCGAAGGCAGTCGCTTAACCAACTGAGCCACCCAGGCGCCCCACATTCTTTTTTTAATGTACAAATGATACAGACTTGACATTTAAAAAATTTTTTTTCACAAATGGAGAGAGAAGAGACCAAGCCAGGATGACTTCCCACAAGGAAGGGATCTAAGGGCTGCCCCATGAACTTCAGGCCAACATGGCTACTTCCTCCTCTTGTACCTATGAAGAAAATCCGCAGAGTAAAGACCCAACTCCCAAAGCCAGGAAGAGGAAGGAGGAGCTTTCCCATGAAAGGTCCAATCCCCAACAGGCACAACCTCTGGCCCTCCAAAAGGGCAAACATTACCTGGATTTAGACTTAAAGTTTCCTCCTCGTCTCTGGTGGGGCAAGCCCAACTGTTTTCTTTCTTCAAAGGAGGGGCTGCGAGTGAGAAGATGAGACACTGAAATGAAGCCCGACAGACAGACAATGTCTCATTGCCGCCCCCACCCAGCTCCCACATGAAGCAGCAGCGTCACTGACGCACCGTTTTCAGGGCCTGAGGTTCTAAGCCTGGTCTTTCCACCTGATAATGTGGGATTGTGGAAGTCAGGGCCCAGCTTTAAAAAAAGACTGGAAGTTCCGTCTACCCCCAACCCAACCCCAGCCCAAGGGATACTGATCTGGGGGTGGGGGTGGGGGGTAACACATTCCTAAGAGCAAACCATGATCCTTTGCCTTTCTAGCTCTCCTGAGAGAAAGGTCTATTTCTGAACCAGAAATTTTCACCTCCAAGGCAGGAGGGCCTTAACACTTTCCTCCTGTTCTCACCCTGGGATCCAGAGATGGGCTTAGCTGGGGATGGGGGGCAGGGGGGGGGGTGTCAGACAGGAACCCTTAAAATTATATATTATAAAGCTACAAGTATATGGGAATTGGGGAGTACAGAAGGAGGAAGAAGGTATATAGCTTTGATCAAAATACAAAGAGCCCCATGATGACTTAAAACCCTACCCAGCTCGATACTGTTTCAGGGCCTTCTTGCTTGTGTTGGTAAGCTCTTCATCAAATACAGATTTCTTCACCTGCTTTTGTTTCTTGGCTGTGCACAGAAAGCATGGGTTAGATATGTCCTCTTTGGCTCAAGCTTCTAAATCGTATCCTTAAGTTCAGGGTAATGGTTCCAAGTTCAGTGGATGTTCTGGCCAGATGATTTACTGACATGGCAACAAGACATCGGATCCCAGCAGAGAAGGGATGAGGAATTCAGAAGTGGCAGGTGTGATGAACCACTCCAAAGGATGATTGCAGAGTCCCAAAGTGAAAAGAACCACTGAAATGTGAAATGGGCTGAAGACTGACTTCACTTCTTTTTACCCTGACCTGCTCCTCCAAGGAGCAGTTTGTAAGGACTTAGGCTCGAGTCAGAAAGGTCTGGGTTCAGATCCTAGCTCTCCCCACTAACCATGGGGTCACTTCACCACTTGGGAACCCAAAAATAGCTGTACATACTGGTACACACATTACTCAAAAAATATGGGCTCTTATTAACCCTCCAATTTTCTCCCTGACCAGAAGCACAAGTTTCAGGGAGAACCTTCCTACGAGCTCCTATGGGCTCCCCATCTGCCTACCAGGGCCTCTTGCTGGCTCCTCCTCAGGCATTGCTCGGGCCCTCTTGGCTCTGCGGTTCCTCTTGGCCAGGCGCTCAGCAAACATCTGTGCCTTCAGGATTTCAAACTGGGACCTTTCCTCTGCCTAGAAAGGATGATGTGAGTACGGAACAGACCAGAAGTGCTGACCCATGCCACTGGGCAGGGACCCAACCACTTACTGTCATCTCCCCCTTTTTCTTGGCATCCTTCATAAACTTTTTCCTCTTCTTCTTTCCCCTTAAGGCCAAGTCAAACTCCTGCAGAGCCTTGGCAACTAGAATGAGGAGAGAGTACGAGATTTCAGGTACTGTTTAACATCTTTTTTTAAAAGAAGTACACATATTTTAAATTGGTACATAAGAGTTCAAAATGAGAAGCAGCAACTCACATCCTCTGCTGGTGGTTACCTCTCCATCTCACTAACATGCTTGTTCCACTATTTCTCCATTAATCCACTTGAGACATTCGTTATCTACATCGTGTTGTGAAAGATGATTTGGTTCACTTATACTCCCAGACCCTCCCGCCATATAGTTATAACTATGTTTAACACAGAAATTTAACATGCATGCACCCTTTTTGTCCCATCAGATATAGGCAGTATTTCTTAAATTGCTGGTACAGGGCGCCTGGGTGGCTCAGTCGTTAAGCGTCTGCCTTCAGCTCAGGTCATGATCCCAGGGTCCTGGGATCGAGTCCCGCATCGGGCTCCCTGCTCCGTGGGAGACCTGCTTCTCCCTCTCCCACTCCCCCTGCTTGTGTTCCCTCTCTCGCTTTGTCTCTCTCTGTCAAATAAATAAATAAAATCTTTAAAAAAAAAAAATTGCTGGTACAACCTCTTTGGAGGGTAATTTTGCAATCCCTAACAAAATAATAAATGCACATATCCTCTAGCCTACAATTTCACTTTCGGGGATTTATCCTGCAAATCAAATGCACGTGCTTAATTGTGAAAGGGCATTTGTACAGTTAATTCACTACATGGCTGGAATAGCAAAAGATTACAAACAACTTCAATGTCCCTCAACAGGGGATTAATTAAATAAATTATAATCTATCCACATGATGGAAGACTATGCAGCCATTAAAAAAAAAAAAAAGGCAGCTATGTATGTGCCTGTATAAAATCTAAGCTATAAAATTAACTGGAAAAAACAAGGTGTAGAAAAATGTGAATTTGTGTGATAAAAAGGGGGGTGGGGAGGGCAGGGAATACTTATAAATAAATATTCCTGACCTACTTTTTTTTTTTAATTGTGGCAAAACAGGTACAACATAAGATTTGCCATTTTACCCATTTATTTTTTTTTTAATGTTTATTTATTTGAGAGAGAGAGAGCAGGGAGAAGGGCAGAGGGAGAGGGAGAGACAGTCTTAAGTAGACTCCGTGCTGACTGCAGAGCCCGATGCGGGGCTCGATCTCACGATCTGAGCTGAAACTGAAAGTTGGACACTTAACCTGACTGCACCACCCAGGCACCCCTTACCCATTCTTAAGTGCACAACTCGGTGGCATTAATCATGTGCACAGGATTGCACAACCATCACCGTGACCTGTTTCTGTAACTTTTTCATCATCCCCAAACAGAAGCTCTGTAACCGTTCATAACGCCCTCCCCACAACCCCTAGTAATCTCTGTTCTACTTTCTGCATCTATGGATTTACCTCATATAAGGAGGATCATATCTATTTGTCCTTTTGCATCTGGATCATTTCACTTAGGTTCACCCTTGCAGTGTGTATCCACTTCATTATGGCTAAACCATCCTCTATGGGACGTGCCCACCACATCTCCTGTGACTGTCCATCTGCTGACACACACAGGTCGCTTCTACCCCTTGGCCACTGGACACCGGCATACGGTGTGCCTCTGAGTCCCTGTTCTCAGTTCTTCTGGGAACAGGCCTAGCAGTGGCTGTGCTGAGTTCCAGGAGAACTCAGACCCAGCTTTCTGAGGGACCTCTCCAACGTACTTTTTTCCTTCTTCCTCTCTTCCTTGGTCTGGAACCAGCTTCTCTCAGGCTCGTGGTTCGGTGCCTCCTTCCCCTTCTCCAGGAGCCGCTTTGCTGTGTTGATCTGTGGAGACAGCACAAGGGTGGCTGCCACGACAGCACCAACTGTTAAGATGTCACACGGCAGCTGCAGGACAGCACCTGGCTGGCCGACACCGGGTATGGCAGGGCAGGACTGGCAGGGACCGCCGTGGCCCGCTTCCCGCCCCGCCCTGCAGGCCCCCCCCCCCGCCCCAGTCTCGGTGCAGCCCTACCTGAGCTTCTGAATGCTGCAGCTCCTTCTCCTCGGCCTCTAGCTGCAGAACTGCATACACGTCCTTCTCCATCTTCTCAATCTTGTCCCGGAATTTGAGGATGACATCTCAAGGGAAGAGAACGACAAAAATTTTTAAACAAGGATAAATACTGTGTAACTGATGAAAATAATAGAGATGTGTATTTAGTGACAACAGAAAATTGGGGTTTTTTATGGGTGACTTCTCCACTTCACAACACACCCCCTCCTCACCCCACCCCCAAAGAGCCTGCTGCGCTTGGAATAAATTTCAAACTCCTACATGTGGCCCCTGCCTACCTCTCGGAGCTTCTATCTCCACCCTTGCTCACCGTGCCCTGGGCCCTCTCTGGCTCTTCCTTCACGGACTCGCACACCGCGTCCGCTCCTGCCTCAGAGGCTTTGCCCTGGTTTTCTCTGCGTGGCACACTGTCTGCAGACTGCTCATGGTTACCTCATTCTTATCTAGGACTCAGCTCAAATGCCATCTGTCCAGAGGCCTTTCCTAAACAGCTTTCGAAAGCAGCATCTCTCCTCCTGACATTCTGGATCACATCTACTCTTATTATTTATTGTCTTCTTCCTACCAGAGTATCAGATGTTTTGTTTCCTGCTATATCCCTAATACCTAGGATAGAATAAACAGCACCCGGCACTTGGTAGTACTCAATAATTGCTAGCTGATAGAATGAGTTAAGTGAAAATGAAAAAAATGAAAGAAAAAAGACATGTATAAATGGAATAAAGGTCTCAAAGGATATGTGCCTAAATGCTAACAGTGGTGAGCTCTTCCACAAGCAATTACATTTTGGCTTTTATTTACTAATTTCTAATAATGAATATATATATGTTATTTTTATAAATTTAAAAAACAAAGAATGTGACCCTGCAGATGAGAAAGAAATGAACGAAAGACATCTAAAAACAAGTAAGTGCTGACCTCTTTCCCCCACCAAAAGGAAGGGGGGTGGTGATTAATAGGGCTTTTGCCCCAAGAAGAAGCCTTCTCTTCCCAAAGGTTGGAAAATAACCTATGAGTGGGGCACTCGAAGTGTAAGTCTGTCATCATTTCCTTTCACAGAAAGAGAGACACAGAGGGGCAAGGGGAGACCGGCCCAGGGTCACTCAGCAAGGAAGTGGCAGGCCTGGAGTTCAAATCCAGCTCCTGACTACTCTCACCTATTACCCTCTGCTCTTGGCTCTGTCCCACAGAGTCTGATCCAGGACCCACCCTGCCCACCCCAACCGCCCTGAGCTGCTACAGTGGTGCCTGCTCACCTTGGGGAAGTATCCGGGCCTTCACGGGGGCCTTGGCGGCTTTTACGATCTCCTTCAGCATCTTCCGCTCCTCTTCTCCCACCAGAGACACCGAGCGCCCAGCCCTGCCAGCCCGCGCTGTTCGCCCCACCCGGTGGACGTAATGCTTGATGGTGTTGGGCATTGTGAAGTTAATTACCTGGAAGGTCAAAGTCAGACCAGTTGGAGAGAGACAGAACACAAGGAGGCAAAAAGACTCCCAGCAAAGTTCAAGGAAGACAGAGGCTGCTCACCGTTTTAACCCCCTCGATGTCAAGTCCACGGGCTGCCACATCTGTGGCCACAAGGATGTCGATCTGTTCATCCTTAAAGCGCCTAGAAATAGCCACAAACAGATGTTCACCTGGATACTCAACCCCAAAAATGCTCCACAGGAGGCTGAGCCAGCAGAGAGAACACAAATCCTTTTGGATTCAAGCAGCAGAGTACAGATTGTCACAGTGATAATCTAAATGAGATCCTAAACGTCAGACCATCTGATACTCACATGACACCTTAAACATCCTGTAACATAGAACAAACATAGTTTGGTTTATACCACCTTAAGCCCCAACTCCTACAAATATGGAAGTTCAGGAACCACAGAGCTAGACTGTAGGAAGTAGCAAATGCAAATGTCTCCGCTCAAAGCAGCCTTTTTAAAAAAAAAATACCCTGCAGCTGCCTATGATAAATGCAGACAGGTGAAGAATTCTAAAGGGTCCCTCCTGGCCTATAAGCATGACTTCATTCTACAAGAATTAAACAAAAACACATGGAAAACACAGGACGTGGCAAAGTACATGCTCAGGAAATGGTGGGTGGCTTTGATTTCAAATCTCGTTCTAACAGACCCAGGTATGCCCACTGCTCTGGAAAAGCTATAGAGAACAGGACATGTGCTGTCTTCCCAAGCCAGAATTTCCTGCCATGGCCCCTCTCAGCAGCTCCAACACTCAAGCCCTAGGGCATCAGTGTCAGCTTCTGCGAGACTATGAGGAATTCTCAATGTATCTAAGACCTAACCTTACAGCAGCTGGACTAAAATCTTTACACTGGGGGACTGTGCCGTCTGTATCCCCTGCAATCGCTCTAACATAACCTCTGGGTGGTATTCTCTCTCTCTCAATGAGGAGAGCCCTCTCTAAAGGATGGGAGGGAGCCTCAGCCCCCTGAACTTTACCGGAGCGCCTCCAGCCGCTGCGTCTGTGATAGGTTGCCGTGGAGCTCGCCCACCTGCAGCCCCAGGAGCCCCAGAAGGATGTGCATGCGGTGGGCCTGCTTCTTGGTCTGGGTGAACAGCATCACATGGTCAGTGAAGGTTCTTGTCAGCAGAGCTGGTGGGGAGAGAAGATTGAGCTGGAAGCCACCTCCGATAGACTCCCTCCACACCTGTGAAGGAGCTGATGTGGCTGGCACTGGGGGAGACAGGCAAGGTCCCTGCCTTGTGAGGCTCCCAGTCCAGGACACAGAGAAGCCAATTCCCAATTCCCAAGGGTGACAAATGCTGTGAGAGAGGGAAGGGAAGATGGAGAGGCAGTTTTAGGGCTGGCCTCTCTAAAGAGGTGATGTTAGGCTAAATGACAGGGCAGGCTTGTTCACAAGATTTGAGGAAAGATTCCAGGCAGAGGAAGGAAGGAGCAAACGTGAAGAAATAGGCAAGGCAGGACAAGCTTGGTGTGTTTGAGAGAACGGAAGCAGGAGAGTATGGCTGGGCACCCAGGCTGAGGACTCCAGGTAGGCAGGGGCCAGGTCCCAGAGGGCTGTACAGGACTCCCTAGGGAGTGTGGACTGTGGACTGAAAGCAATGGGAGACACCCGACCGTTGTAAATAGGGAGATAACATGAGTGATGTTCGCTTGTAAATGATCATTTTAAATGATCTGCAGTGTGGAGAATGGTCACCAAGGGACAAGAGTGGGAGTAGGAGCCTAGTCCAAGGCCACTGCAACAATTCAGGCAAGAGAGGCAGCAGGTTAAACCAAGGGCCAGAGGGGCAGTTTTGGGGGAAGTGGCTGGGCGTTCAGCAGTACCTAAGGAGGACTGGACTGTGGGAGGGAGGTGAGGTGACAGAAGAAAGGGGGAAGGACCCAAGGCCAAAGTGGCAGAGCACATTAATGGCAGTACCACGCAACAGGTCAGGGGAACCCGTCAGAAGAAGTGCCAGGCAACACCCAGCCGCTTGAGTGTGCCACCCACAGGGCCAAGGGAGTCCAGCACCCCCCTGCCCAGTCCCTCCCTGGGCTTTCACCTGCCACGATGGCTTCCCGGTCCCCTTCCCGATTCGGCCGGATCCGGATGAACTCCTGCCGCAGGAAGGGGGCCACATCCGTGTTGCTGTTTACAAATATTCGGACAGGATTCTTCAAGGAAACAGAAGCCAGATCTTTTACCTGCCCAGCACAAACACAGGGATGCTCACTCATCTGCCAGGAGGTGGGGGGTAGGGGGTGGGGATGGGGGCGGAGGCAAGCCATGCTTGCCCCAGGCCACCCCCTGCAGCCCAGCCTGGGTCCTCTGCATTCACCCCACCAAGCAGAATTCCTGTGGCCCACCTCGTCTGTCATGGTGGCTGAGAAGAGCATGGTCTGGCGATGGTGGGAACACATCCGGATGATTTCCTTCATCTGTTCCTCGAAGTACTCGTCCAGCATCCTGACGAGCAGGGAGAAGGAATCAAGAGAAATGGACTGAGCTCACATCTGTCACAATGATGGACAGAAAACATCAGACAAGCTGATGTTCTGATGTTGTAACTGGTTACATTTCAGGCTTGTTTATTTACTTATGTATTAATATTGTTAGTTTACCCTTTCACCAAGATTCATCAAGAACTAGCATTGGGCCACATTTGCTTTATCTTTTTTCTTTTTTCTGAACTATACATGAGTAAGTGGCAGACATCACAACACCTTACCCCTAACCATCCCAGCACACATTGCCTAAGAAAAGACCTTCTCCTATATAACCATCATGTCATTATCACACCCCAAACATTTAAGTGTTTGAATAATACCTGAAGTACAGTCCAAGTTCAAATATCCCTAATTGTCCCCAAAATGTCATTTTATAGCTATCTTTTTATTTTTTTAATCCAGGAAACTGAAGTTCCTATGTTGCATTGGTTGTCATGTTTCTTCAGTCTCCCTTAATCTACAGAAGTCTCCTCAAGCTTTTTACATTGTCTTTGCTCATTTCCCAGTGACTGGATTCAGTAACTCATGGAGGCGAGAACGTGCAGGGGTGCGGCTTTGTACTTCCCTCTCCATCAGGAGACACAGACTGTCCGTTTGTTCCAGTACCACTGACGTGAGTTTGATCACATGACTGAGGTGGTATTGACCAGTTCTATTCACTGTAAAGAAACCTTTTTGTCTTTGTAGGTAATATTAGTCAGAGGATTACTCTGACTCCAATTTGTTCAGCTGACTCAGTCCTTCACAGTATTTCTTCCCCAGTTCAGGCTCCAGGTGAGCATCACGTACCGCATTTACTTGTCATGGTCCTTGATCTCCTTAATAGGAAACATCCACAGCCTTTCTTGGTCTTCTGAGACGTTAACATTTTTTTTTTTTAAAGATTTTTATTTATTTATTTGACAGAGAGAGAGATAGTGAGAGCAGGAACACAAGCAGGGGGGGTGGGAGAGGGAGACGCAGGCCTCCCGCGGAGCAGGGAGCCCGATGTGGGACTCGATCCCAGGACCCCGGGATCATGACCTGAGCCGAAGGCAGACGCTTAACGACTGAGCCACCCAGGCGCCCGAGACTTTAACATTTTTTAAGAAGACAGTTCCCTTCCCCTTTAAAACCTCAATCAGATCACATTCCCTTTGCTCAGAAAGATCTCCTTTACCTCCCTCATGACTCAAGAATGGTTCATTTGCTCTGGGGAAATCAATCAGTTATTCAACGAACACTTACTGAGCATGTGCTGCATACTAGACGCAACCCTGGGCACAGAGCAGCAAGCAGCACAAAGCCAGCCCCTCATAAATATGTTCCAGAGGAGAGAAGGGTCACAACCACCACACAGGCATTCAGGTGACAATGTAGGAGGTTGGAGAGGCATAGCACCTCAGAGAGTGGAAAGCAGGAACTGTTGTAGACAGTGGCCAGCAAAGGCCCTTCGGATAAGTGACAACTGGAGCAGAAACCTGAGGAAGGTACAGGTCATTCCAAGCTGAGGGGACAGAAAGCGCAGAAGCCCCTACGTGGGGCTGTGCTGATAGGACTTCCCAATGGATGCTTTGTGGGTGGGAGATGAGGACACGAGCGATGCAAACAATTCTGGCCTGAACCACTGGGAGGACAGAGCTGCCATGGCCGGAGATGGGAAAGGGAGGGAGGGGCATATGGGGTCCGAAGCTCAGCTCAGGACCTCTTTAGTTTGGAGATGCTTCAATTGGAGAGTAAATCTGAATGGGCTTTGGGCTTGTGGCCTCCTTCCCCTGCCCCCACTCTGATCATGAGTCCAGTTCACTGAGGTTCGTTCTGTTCGGTCATGAAGGAAAGAGGGCAACAGATGGGACCCGTATGAGAGAAGAGGGAGGCAGGGAGTCCCCTACCACAGTAATAGAGGCTGTTTGTTGAGTCCTCACCGTGCACTGCCACTCTACTGTATTCCTCGTGGAATCCTCCACACCATGAAAGGGGGTGTAATTCTTATCCCTCACAAACAAGAAGAGATTTGCTTTAGAATCTAAGTAAAAGGGGTGCCTGCCTGGCTCAGCTGGTGGAGCATGCTACTCTTGATGTCAGGGTTATGAGCTCGAGTCCCATGTTGAGTATAGGGATTACTTAAAAATTTTAAAAAGCTTAAACAAACAAAGAATCTAAATAATATTTCCAAATCTCAGTTAGGAAATGGCAGAGCCAGAATTTGATTTACCCTCCCTCTTAACCATTACATCACAGAGAGAGAAAAAAGGCAGGATAATCCAGACTAATGATGAACAGATGTCCAGATGTGAGCAGCTGAACTGTCATCGCACACATGGCCATGGCAAGATCCATGAAGACTAATGCAGAAGCAGGTTCTCTTCTGGGGTGTGGCCCCCAGGACCCTGGAGCACTTGGGGCCCCACCATTTCAGGTGTACCTGTCAGCCTCATCCAGGATGAGCACCTCAATACTGCTCAGGTGGAAGGAAGGGCAGTTGTGGAGATGATCGATGAGCCGGCCTGGGGTGGCGATGAGGATGTCGGGCGCTGCCCTCAGAGCTGCTTCCTGAGACTTCACATCCAAGCCTCCTGCAGAGAAGAGCCCCGCCAAGTGGCCAAGTCAGTCAGTTGTTCAACAGTCTGGACTGGGCCCTGCCACCTGCCACGTCCCATGCCAGATGCCAGGGAAACAGCAGAGAACAAGACTGACAAAGGCCCCGCCTGTGTGGATTTTACAAGACATTGGGAGAGACAGATTATTTCATTACAACTATGCTAAGTGTGAAAAAAGATGATGACATGAGGGCACTTCAGAACCGAAGGATTCAAACACCCAAGGACTGACAGAAGCAGCTGTCAAAGCAAACAATTTCTCCATCCCCTTTGCCTTCCCACTGCACAGAGAGGATTACATGAAGGTTGGAGAACAGTACCATAGAATATCAACAGAAAAATTCTGCCCCAAATATTTGATTCTCTATTCATACAAAGCAAAAATTACATCCTAAATTTGTTCAGTCCCAAGAAAATTTTTTTGCCCTGAATTTTGAAGTTTCATTTTTTAAGGCTCGTTAAATCTCAGTGAAACCCTCTCCCTTCCCCCCAAGCTCTCTACTCTGAAAACACCTCATCTGGTTTTTCAAGTGGGTTTAATCACAGGAAGGCTTTCCTGATACTTGTCATCCTCAGATGGTGGGGCACACCCACCCTCCACCACTTCACAGTCTCTCAGGGGCCGCCAGACACTCACCCACGGCCAGGCAGGTGGTGATGTTGCAGAACTGAGCCAGCTGCTTGGTGACGGAGTGCACCTGGATGCCCAGTTCTCGGGTGGGAACCAGCACGAGCACGCGCGTGACAGGAGCCTGGCGGGGTTTGTAGATCAGACGCTCCAAGACAGGCAAGGCGAAAGCAGCAGTTTTACCTGGAGAAGGCAGCAGGAACCAGTGAGAGGAGCTTCAGTCCCTTCAAGGTTCAGGTTTTCACCTGAGCCCAGAAGACCTACATATATGCTCAAGGGGAAATGAAGCAACTTTTTTTTCATAAAGCTTTTTTTCACAGGGCCAACGTAAAAAATCTGAGAAGTACAAAAAAAATATGAAAATAATAAAAATCACCCACAGTTCAGCCAACCAGAGATAAACATTAACCTAATGGTATCTAGATTACCAACATTTTTCTTAATGGACAGAAATATAAAAATTAAAAATTTAATGCAGTAACACTATATATTCTGTTCAGTAATCCCTTTCAAAAAAAGCATAACAGGGACACCTGGCTGGCTCAGTTGGTAGAGCATGCAGCTCTTGATCTTGGGGTTATGAGTTTGAGCCCCATGCTGGGCGTAGAGATCACTTAAAAACAAAAACAAAAAAACCATATTTCCTGTTTCTTTAAATACTCTTTACTTTCAAATGGTTGCATAATATTCTGTCATGTGACTACTTCTACTCTATAATTTACTGATACAGAACACCATGATGAAAGTCTGTTTCATAAAATCTTTACTCCTATTGCAGCACCTGGATGGCTCAGTTGGTTGGGCGTCTGAATCTTGATTTCAGATCAGGTCATGATCTCAGGGTCATGGGATAAAGCCTTGCACTGGGCTCCGCTCTCAGCAGGGAGTCTGCTTGAGGATTCACTCTCTCCCTTTCCCTCTCCCCCGGCCCCTCTTAAATTAAAAAAAAAATCTTTACTCTTATTATGGCAGCAACAAGAGATCATGATCAGAGACACCCTAATAGGAATAGTTACAGGTTATAGATTTCAGGGGGTCTCATGAAGGTCACCTTTATTTATACATAATCCCCAGTCATAGGAGTAAAAAATGTTCAGCACATTATATATTAGTGCAGTTAATTATAAAGCAGAAACAGCTATATAACAGAATACTATACAACCATTTTTAAAAAGTGAAGAGTACTTAGGGCACCTGGGTGGCTCTGTCATTAAGCGTCTGCCTTCAGCTCAGGTCATGATCCCAGGGTCCTGGGATCGAGCCCCGCATCGGGCTCCCTGCTCCGCGGGAAGCCTGCTTCTCCCTCTCCCACTCCCCTTGCTTGTGTTCCCTCTCTCACTGTATCTCTCTCTGTCAAATAAATGAATAAAATCTTTAAAAAAAAAAAAAGTGAAGAGTACTTAAAGAAATGGGAAAATATATGTTGAGATTTAAGGGAAATTAATAAGCAAGAATATATAGTGTTATTGCATTACAATTTGTATTTGCATATTTAGCAAAGTGGCCCTTGTGTAAATCAACCTAGACCCATGCTGTACGTTGAACATCCTCCTCCTGCCTCCTCCTCTCCCCACCCCCCAAGTCACTATCCTTTATACCTGTCCCAGTGGCTGCACAGGCACAGATATCCTTCCCCAACAGACCCACAGGTATGCATGCCTTCTGGATTGGGGTGGGCTGCTTGAAGCCCATGGCTGTAATGGCCTGAAGAGAAAAGATGGGGTCATACAGGATGGGGAGGAGGAGTCTCAGCATGAAACAAACAAGGCAGGTTTCCACACAGGTGGTGACTCCTTCAGTCCCTCCCAGTCATTCATTCTACAAACATTCGAGTGCCAACTACGTGGGAGATCTGTTCTAGGCACTGAGATACAGCAGTAAACCAAAGAAATAAAGACCCTGCCCTTGGCAATCTTACAGTTTGGTAGGGAAAAAGACCAAAAATCATCACATGCCATATGGAGAAAACCACAGCATTCAAGGGGGCTGGGAACGAGTACGATTTATAGTAGGGTCAGGGAAAGTCTCACTGAGCAGAAGATACTGAGTAGAACCCTGAAAGAGGTGAGGAGCACCCCAACCAGATTACTGGAAAAACTTTCCAGGCAGAGGGAACAGTAAGTGCAAAGGCCCTGAGGAAGAAAACGCCTAACCTGTTTGAGGGCCAAGGAGGAGGCCAAGGTGGCCAGAGCAGAATGAGTGCTAGGAGACATCACCAGAGGAGACCAGAAAGGGCAAGGATTAATAGGCCAAGATGGAACTTTTTAAGAGGGTTCTCTGACAGCTGTGTGGACAACAGAATTTAGGGAGGCAAAGAGCCCAGTTTAGGGCAGGGAGCCTAGTTAAGGGGTGATTGCAATAATTCCATGGTTGCCAAAGGAAGCAACTACCTTCAGAAGAGGGCGGGAAAGGTTCATGTCCTGGAATGAGAGGTTTTCATCATACTGAGATGCATCTTCAAAAAATCCTCCTGTTTCCTACACCAGGAAATCAAAAGACAGAATGAGAATTCAGCAAAATGGGCCCAAGGAAACTAACTGGCCTTAAAGTCCTGTCAGGTTGCAAAAATAAGCTGCATGCTCTTTTCCATGCTCATGCTCACTTGTCCTTTCTTCTTCTTCCGCTCCTTTACTTTGAGTGTATCTGTGGAGAAAAATAGAGCTGACCATCAGGGCTCGTACTTACTGAGCATTTATAATCTGCTAGCCGCTGTCCTAAGTGCTTTCTGTAGCTACCTCACTGAATCCACACAACAGCCTGAGGGGGCTACTCTCATTAGCTTCATTTGACAGTGAGGACACGTGCAGCAAGCTCGGCAAGTTCCAGAGGCCAGGCTCTCAACCACTGCACTCTATTATCATGCTCGAGCACTCCTTTCTGCAAGAAATATTTACGAAGGACCCACCACGCGGCTGGGCCCATCTGAGGTGGGATGTGGGGGACCTATAACCCCAAATAAGTCTGAGTCTTAGAGGTGCCAGCAGCTGTGTGGGGCTGGGGAGGAGGGAAAGGGTATGGTCTGCCAGCAAAGTACAACAACCCTAACAAAACCCCAAGGAAAAAAGAGAAGCTAGGAGTTCAATATGGAGATCTTAAATGTGACTGTAGAAGAACACAGGAAGTCCTACAAAGGAAAGGTGGACTCGTTCCAATTTCCTGTCCCCGTTTCCGACAGCGTCTCTGTAACGCCCACCTGCTTTGGTGAGGATGTTCTCATCAGCTGACGAGTAATCGGTCTCTGAGTCTTCATCTTCTGGGCCTTCCTCATCTTTCCCTTCAGGGTCTTCCTGCTCCTCTGGTTCAGAGCCCTCCTTTGCTTCTTTCTCCTTCTCTGACTTCCCAGACTTAGCTTCTTTATCCTGGAAAAAATATTATAGTAAAGCAAGGCAACTACAAACTTCAAGAAATCTAGAACCTCTGAAGAGCAATACCATGCTCTCCAGCCTGGGCAGAACGCTCTGTGGACTCTCAGTGATTATTAACAACAGACACACAGAGAAGCCTGTCTGCACCCCCGCACTCCAATTCAGGCTTAAAGAAAAATGGTGGGGTCGTGTGGAGGGCAAAGCTCAGGGCTTTCCACAGAGAAGTACCTGCTTTGCTTTCTCACCTCTGCTTTCCTTTTCTTGCGAACTTTCTCAATCTTCTCATCTAATGTAGTGGCTGCCCTCTGCAGATAAAAATAAGATGAATAAGAAGCATATATATGGGAAAGAGACAAAGCAAGGTTTCTCTGAGGGTTGGGTCTCCAATGTTAATACACAAGAGGCTCGTCTGTCCTTGGATAGATTAATCAATCTGCAGATTATTCACAACAACAACAAAACAAATAAATAGTCAAGTGTGAAAAATCTTTACCTGGAACCAAGAAGAACATCCACATTTTGGAAGGTGTTTACTATTAAGAAGAACAGAATTACCAAGAGATGTCACATTTATAGCTGAATGCTACTTAGAAAAATCCTTCCCCATGCCAATCAGACAGAATTTAGCCTAGCAATTAAAGGCTGAAATCAAAGCAAATTCTGCTGAAACTTTTAGAAAGGGTAAGTAATGGCAGGCCTCCTTTACCTATGCTCAAAGCACCCTGAACTGCCACGGCATTTGCCACGACTACAATTAACTATTTGTTTTTGTATTTATAATTATTTGTTTACTTATCTTTTACCCTGCTGGACTGCAAGCTTTATAAGACCAAGTCTTTAATTACATGGGGCCTATATACCCGGACCTGGGAACAAATGTAAAATTTGTTAAGTGAACCTGGAGTGAACTTTCATCAAAACATGGAACAGGGAAACAAACATTTCATAATTATTTTGAAAAAGGAAAATTTCTCTGGCATTCTCTGAAAAAGTACTGAAAAGGAAAAAAAAAAAAAAATCACAAAGAAATCCTGTCCAGGTAACCATGAAAAGGCAATGCTAGTTGATTTTAATCAGAACACCAAGAGAGTCTGGTGTAAATAGCTCTGTGCTATTTCTGCAGCATTTCTCTTTGAGGCCCATGGAATGGAAAATGTCGCTGATGCACCTTCTAGCTCGCTCACCGGATTCAAAGGAAAACATGGGATCTTGACAAATAAGCAGATGACGGTGACATCTGTGGCAGCTTTGGCTATGCTATGTGGGAACCAGGGACCCTAAACAGTGAGATCACCTGGCAAGTGACAGAATGACAGCGTCTGTGGGGCAGATCAAAACACTACTACCAAGGGTGCATGCTAGATTGTTCTTTGTTACAAACTAATGTAACAAAGGTTTCTCTCTAGTATTCAAAACAAGGAGAGAACACCTACAAAAAGAGACCATTTTAACATAGCTATGCCCACTTCTTTTCTAAGTCAAGCAATTTATATGTAATATTTGGTATTCCTAAACCAGTAGACCAGTATTACCAGATTTCCTCTGAAACGTTTTCACATTTTAGTGTGTATAATATCAGGAATGGTCTCCCTTAATATATATACAGAAGTTAATCTGAGTTCATCATGCCCCCCTCCAGGAAAAGCCGTCATGGACATCTTCTAATGAAGGAAATAAGATATTTCTGATACTTTGGGCGCCTGGGTGGCTCAGTTGGTTGGGCGACTGCCTTCGGCTCAGGTCATGATCCTGGAGTCCCAGGATCGAGTCCCGCATCAGGCTCCCTGCTCGGCAGGGAGTCTGCTTCTCCCTCTGCCCCTCCCCCCTCTCGTGTGCTCTCTCTCATTCTCTCTCTCTCAAATAAATAAATAAAAATCTTTAAAAAAAGAAAAAAAGATATTTCTGATACTTTAAAATATCATCTGTAGATCAATTCATGTGTTTGTAATTAGTCTGTAATAAATCTATGTTGCAACATTTTACACTTTGGTTTTAATCAAGACTGGGGGTTTTTGTGACTCTTCTCCCCACCCCATCAAAACTACACTACATATTTCCAAGAGTTCCAGCATTTGCTGAATGTAAGCAGATGGCAAAAGGCAGTGAGGTTAGACCCCAAAACCTACTGTCCAACCTCAATAGCCCACGGCCTGGAACTGCCAATCACTGTCCGTTCTCACCTTCTTCTTGAGCTGGCTCATGACATCGGCCATGGCCCAGCTGCCATCGTATGCCCCCTCCTTCTCAGTGAAAACGAAGTCAGGGTTGAAATCAGTGCTCCGGTTCTTCTGCAAGGCTTTCTGCTTTCTGCCCAGCACGATGGGCCCCTGAAAAGAGGGAGAAGCAGGATGATTACAGGGCTGAAACAACACAGAACAGGAATCTACAATTGTCATGGGAGATCTTAACGTGGCTCTCTCAGTAACTGACAGATTAAGCAGACAAAAAATAAGTGCAGAAAATCTGAAGAGCACAATCAACAAGCTTCGCTCCTGTGAACATTATAGACAACGCTGCATCAACCGCTAGAGAGTGCACATTCTGAACAAACATGGAATAGGTGCAAAAACTGATCACACAAGAGGCCTTTAAGCAAATCTTCAAAAACTTTCAAAGAATCAATATCATACAGACTTTCTTCTCTTGCAGCAATTCAATTAAGTTAGAAACCAATCATTGGGAGCGCCTGGGTGGCTCAGTCGTTAAGCGTCTGCCTTCGGCTCAGGTCATGATCCCGGGGTCCTGGGATCGAGCCCCACATCGGGCTCCCTGCTCGGCGGGAAGCCTGCTTCTCCCTCTCCCATTCCCCCTGCTTGTGTTCCCTCTCTTGCTGTGTCTCTCTCTGTCAAATAAATAAAAAATCTTAAAAAAAAAAAAAAAAAGAAACACAAAAACCCAAACATCTAAAAACTGGAAAGGAAGACTGACTGATTTATGGCTTCTGAGAACTAGAAACTGACCTTTTTTCCTCACTGAGTTAAACAATCTCGTAAGAACTCGTAAGAACTCTCACCCTAGGGCGCCTGGGTGGCTCAGTTGGTTAAGCGACTGCCTTCGGCTCAGGTCATGATCCCAGGGTCCTGGGATCGAGTCCCGCATCGGGCTCCCTGCTCAGCAGGGAGTCTGCTTCTCCCTCTGACCCTCCCCCCTCTCATGCTCTCTCTCTATCTCATTCTCTCTCAAATAAATAAATAAAATCTTAAAAAAAAAAAAGAACTCTCACCCTAAAGTTCATTATTAATAATGATTACATATCATTTCTAGCTGTACAGAACTTCATATTTTAACTTCGTCATTATCATTTGCCATATTTGCTCCAGTCCTTTTTAATAATAGTTTTCCATTCAAGAAATGAAAAGATCATTCTAGCTGCTGCTAAGTAGTGAATGGGGCGGGGGGGGGGGGGGGGGGGCGGCGGGCAAGAGAAAGGCTGGAGACCAGGTACCTTAGGATGCTGGGTCTCCAGGCACAAGGTGGCAGTGGCCTGGTCTAGGGTGAGCTAGGAAAAGGGGGAGAAGTTAAAAGAGCTGAGCTAGCCTGAACGAAACTGGAGGGGAGTGAGAAGGAAGCAGCTGTCAAGGATGATGCTTAGGTTTCTGGCTTGAGATGGAGCAGGTTGGGAAGGTGAGGGAGACCCGAGTTCAGCTTTGGTAAAGCTGAATTCGTGGAGGCCATGGGACACCCAGGTGGAGGTGTCTGTAGGCAGATGAGGCCACAGTGGGGCAAACACCTGGGCTGGATCTTTGTAGGGTGAGCCCCTTTTTCATGACACTGTTCCTCTTTTAACTGCCACACTGCTTAATGCCTGTAACCCTCCCACCCAGCATAAGCTTCAGAAGAGTGGTGTCCTTGCCCATCTTGTTCACTGCTGTGTCCCGAACGCTGAACACTAGGTATAGCCTACAGACACCTCCACCCGGGTGTTCCATGGCCTCCACGTCAATGAATACTGGCTTAATGAACGAACCCCTGATGAGGAACCACGACTGGCTTGGCCCCTGGATCTCTATGATCTATTACATAGAGCCCGGATTCAACACCAGTGAATGGGTACTAAGTTCGCCAAGACGACACGGCGCGTTACCGGCACAGGCGCAGAGGTGAGGAAAAGCGAGTGGCGACCAAACTGAGGAAGATCTTGGGGTCCCCTTCCAGGGACACTTGCCGGCCTGGCAGGAGGATGCTGAGGAGCTAGGGGCAGGGGCCCGAGGAATCACGGAGAAGGGAAGCAATCACGGAAATCTGCACGCCGCCGCGTCCCCAACCCCGATCGGCTCATACCTCCTCTTCCTCGTCTCCGGAGTCAGACTCAGGATCCCCTGGCACCTCGTCATCTTCGCCTATGGTCCCGATTAAACCCAGCTCCTCGAGCATGCTGCCACAGCACCACTTCCGGAAACCAGCTCGCACACAGGCCGGCCCTTACTTTCCGACGGCCTCCTCGTCGTCACTGCGCATGTGCTGACATCACTTCCGTTTGGGGGAAGGCCCTGCGACGCTCCTCCCCTGAGCGCGGAGTGCGCACGCGGCAATCTGGGAGGTGGTTTCGGGTGACGGAGTCCGCGGCCGGCTGGGCTTCGGTGAATTCCTTTGTCTTGGTCGCTGGCCGCGGCGTGCGGCGTGCGCCGTGCGGAGGAGGTGCGCTGGCGGAGCTCTGTGTCTGTGCATTTGCGGACAGAAAGTTGTGGAAGAAATGGCAATAAACGGTTAGCAGGGATTGCTACTGGGTAGAATTATGTGCTTTTTATTTTCTTCTTAGATCTTTTCCATAAAAAAGAAAAGAAGTTAAACAAAACTAAGACTAGCTAACACTTATATAGCAGTTACTGCGCCCGGAGAACTGATTACTTTTATATGCATTAACTAATTTAATCACCATAGCAACCCTAGCAGAAGCTACCATTACTGTGGGCGTTTTACGTACGGGGAGATGGAGACACTGAAAGGTTCCCAAGGCCACCCAGCCAAGATTACAACCCAGGCAGTGGCTCCAGAGTCTAGAAAGTAGGTCCCAGAGCTTACCAGAAGCTTTTCCTCTCCTTTCTGAGTGTGGAAATCTTGGCTCGTAACTGCGCTTATGATCACCTCCTCTAGGCAACTTTCCCTTAAACATCTCCTCAAATGTGTAGTTTTCCCAGATTACCCATCCTTGGTAGCTATTTGCTCCTGTGTGCCTGTGATTTGTACCATTTTCAAGTGTACAGTTCAGTGGCATTAATTACATTCACGATGTTGTGCAACCATCACTACTGTGTGTTTCCAGAATTTTTTTCATGAGCACAAATGAACTCTATAACCATTAAGCAACAGGTCCCCATTCGCCTCTCCCCAGTCCTGATAACCTCTCATCTACTTTCTGTCCCTATGAATTTGCCTATCTTAGATATTTCATATAAGTTGAACTTTTACAATATTTATCCTTTCGTGTCTGGCTTATTTCCCTTAGCAGTATTTTCAAGGTTCATCCATGCTGTATGTAGCCTGTGTCAGAACCTCACTGAGGATGAATGATGTGCTGGTTGAATGTACATACCACATTTGGTGTATCCGTCCGTCAGCTGAGGGGCACTTGGGTTGCTCCCACCTTTTGACTATTGTGAATACTGCTGCAATGAACAGTGACCTACAAGGATATATTTGAGTCTCTGTTTTCAGTTCTTTTGGGTATATTCCTAAGAGTGAAATTGCTGGGTAAAATGAAAATTCTAATGTTTAGCTTTTTGAGGAACCACCAAATTATGTTCCACAGTGGCTACACCATTTTACATCCCCACTAGTAATGCATAAGGCTTCCAGTTTCTCCACATCCTTGGCAACACTTGCTGTTTTCCTCCTTTTTTAAATTTTATTTATTTTTTATTGTAGCTTCAGGTGTCTTTTAATGGTGGTTCTGATCGTGGTGAGTTTCATACCCTAGCCTCAGACACTGAATCTTGTGAATGAAGAATATCTATCACTTTGAGTGTTATTTCTTTCCCTATGGATCCTAATGGAAGGTCTACCTCTCATAAGCACGTAGACACAAAGTTTTTTTATACATTCACAGGGGCCTAGTTGACCCCTGAAGTTCATCCAATCATCCCAAGTGAAATTCCTTGTTCCAGGCAATAGACAGGAGAGACTTGATCTGATTCATCTTCTGTCCACTTCTCTTCACTTCTGCTCCCACCACCTCATTCAAGTCACCATCTTCTCTCAACTGGATATCTGCAGCAACAGATTGGTCTTCTAGGGTCTCCTCTTGCCTCTCTTCAGTCCATTCTCCACACAATAGAGAGATCTTTCACAAACCCAAATCCTATTGCCTCAATCCCCTGCTTGAACACTACGGTACGCTTAGAATAAAATCCCAACTCCTTCTGAGCAACATGATCTAGCTCTTTCCTACCCCATCAACTTCTACTACTACTCTCCCCTTGTTTCCTCTACTCCAGCCACATTGGCCTTCCTATTACCCACACAAGCCAATCTCGTTCCCACCTAAGGACCGTTATGCTGACTGTTCCCGCTACGCAGAATGCTGTTCCCTTCAGTCAGTGTGTGACTGGCTCATACCCATCCTCTGACCACCGCATAAACGAGCAGCACCCATCTTGCAGTCACTCCCTATCCCATCCCTCTTACTTCCCTCCTAGCACTTAGCACTCTTTGAGATAATTTTATTAGTTAATTTAGTGAACTTGTGTAGAGTCTGTCTTACTAGATATGAGCTCCAGAAGGGTGAGGGCTTTGTCTAACTTGTTCACTGCTGTATCCCAAGTGCTTAGTATAGTGCTTGGCACATAGCGGGCACCCAGTGAATGCCAGGTGAATAAACAAGTGAATGAATGTCTTTACATGTTTTTGAATCGTTTTCAGATGTATATCAGGTCTGTATGCCCATGTTTGCTCAATTCAAATAGACCTTATGTCAGCTCTGGCTGACATCATTACCTGAGCTCTGCAGGGCAGGAAGCATGTCCAACTCTTGGGCCATAGAGCAGTGCTGGAATTTCACTATTTATAATGAAGGACCAACATTTTAAATTTCCAATCCAGGGGTACCTGCCTGGCTCAGTTGGTAGAGCATGTGACTCTTGATCTCAGGATTGTGAGTTTGAGTCCCACCTTGGTTGTAGAGATTACTTAAAAATCTTTTAAAAATAAATTAAAATAAATTTAAAATAAATAAAATTTCCAGCTGGCTCAGTTGGTAGAGCATGTGACTCTTGATCTCAGGATTGTGAGTTTGAGCCCCACCTTGGTTGTAGAGATTACTTAAAAATCTTTTTAAAATAAATTTAAATAAATTTAAAATAAATAAAATTTCCAGCTGGCTCAGTTGGTAGAGCATGTGACTCTTGATCTCAGGATTGTGAGTTTGAGCCCCACCTTGGTTGTAGAGATTACTTAAAAAATCTTTTAAAAATAAATTAAAATAAATTTAAAATAAATAAAATTTCCAATCCACTGCAGACTGGTACTTATGTGAAATACAGTGAAATATTATAGCAATGCCAGTTTGCTAGAAAACTTTCTAAAATCTTATTCTCAATTTCTGTACTTTATTGTCCTGAACAGGTAATAAACACTTTACAAACGGGCACCAGGTACAGTCCATATTTTAGACGCAATTTTTTTTTTTTTTAAAGATTTTATTTATTTATTTGAGAGAGAGAATGAGAGACAGAGAGCATGAGAGGGAGGAGGGTCAGAGGGAGAAGCAGGCTCCCCGCCGAGCAGGGAGCCCGATGCGGGACTCAGTCCCAGGACTCTGGGATCATGACCTGAGCCGAAGGCAGTCGCTTAACCAACTGAGCCACCCAGGCGCCCGCAATTTTTTTTTTTTAAGATGTTATTTATTTATTTGAGAGAGAGAGAGACACAGCGAGAGAGGGAACACAAGCAGGGGGAGTGGGAGAGGGAGAAGCAGGCTTCCTGCCGAGCAGGGAGCCCGATGCGGGGCTCGATCCCAGGACCCTGAGGTCATGACCCGAGCCGAAGGCAGACGCTTAACGACTGAGCCACCCAGGCTCAGTCCATATTTTGAGTCAAACTGTCATTCGAGCTCAGCACAACACACGGTAGATGTCAGTGTTTAGAGCATTTCCTCGAACTCTTAGAAAACCAAGACAAGAACATCACACTGGATTAAAGGCAAAGATGGACAGGAACAGACTTTGTTTACTATAAAACATCAAATAATGCCAATTGTTAGAGCAGTGCTGTCCATTGGAACTTTCTGCAGCAATTAAAATGTCTTGTATCTGTCCTGTCCAGTAGGGTAACCACTAGCCACGTGTGGATTGATTTTTCCATTTTTTGTTTTATTTAAGTTAAATAGCCCCCCGTGGCTAGTGGCAAATATTTTCGATAGTGCAGCTAGATCAAGTTATGTCTTTGAAAATACGGTCCTCCATCTCCTTTAGAAACTGATATCCTATCAGTGTCCAAGATCTGTCTTATTCTACTGCCTAGATGTTGGTCCAGTCAGACCTTCCCCCATTCCCCAATTCAGTGGATGACAATTCCATTCAAGGAACCATGCGTACTTGATTTCTCCCCCTCCTTTACTACCCCCCACCCAACCTCCCATTCTTCATATCCTCTCAGTATTACCTCCATCTCACAGCTCCCTCTAATTCTCCCCATCTCCCCCATCACCATATCTCACCTGGAGAGCAGCCTCATAACCAGCTTCCCTGGGGCCAGTCTGGTTCACCATTCCCATCCTCCCTGCCTCGGTGAAAAGTCTTGAGTGACTTCCACTGTTTTTTTATTTTCGGTTTTAATTATTATTATTATTTTTTTTTACTTCCATTGTTTTTTAGGATAAAGACAAACCTCCTCCTTCTGGGCCTATAAGCCCCTCCTTTGTCTGGCCCCATTCCCACTCCCAACCCTTACGTAGGTCAAATTCCATCTTTTTCTTTTTTTTTTTTAAATAGAAGTCTATCATGATCAGTGCAATTCTTTGGAGCGCCAGACACAGTTTTAATTTTACTTTCATTTGTTGTGAGTTGGTAAGTGGTCTTTCCCACTAAATCATCAGCTCCATGAGGACCAAGACGAGGTATGTTTTTTGCTCACCATTTTATTCTACCTAGCCTGGCAGGATGATATTTGGTATCAGGGCAGGTTAGCAGAGTGTTTGAGCTCACAGCTTGTGGAAGTAGCTCTCTAGGTTCAAATCCCCGGCTCCACCTCTTACTAGGTGTGACTTCGGCGAATTACCTTCCCTGTGTATCCATTTTCTCACCTGTAAAATGGCAACAGAGTAACACCGACCTCTTAGAGTTTTAGATTACATATTTAAAACAGCGCTTGGCACACGGTGAGCACTGGATAATGTCAGTTATTATTAAATGAGTATAAATCATTATTTCATAAATGAAGACAGGTATCCCATAATTTTTGAAAGTTTACATTACACCACTTCGCTTTTATGAAAGACCTGCATCAGTTACCTGTTAGAGCATTTCTGCACTAACAGAAAGAAATCAGAAGAGGATGTTTGCTTTTGGGAAAAAAAAAAAAAGGCAAAAAGCAAAAATAGCTCTCAACGTTTGTTTTGCAGCCAGCGGTTACAGAGCCAGCGCAGCCCAGCAGCAAGAGTGGTGCCACCAAGCTCCTTCCCCATGACTCCACTCAGCATCTCAGCATCCAGCTGCCAGAGCTTTGAAATGTGTCTGTGAGTATCTGTACTTTATCTCAGTTTATTTTGTGCATCCGTTGCCATGATGTGTCATAAGGTATCAGAAGAACCTAAAGGGTTATTTTTTGGGGGGTCTGGAACACTCAAAAAAGTTTCCATATAAATTTAACAGTAATTGCTCCTTCATGTTAAGACATTTCCACTTACAGTAGAAATGCTCTACTTTGGAAGAGCAGGAAACCTGTATGTGGATTCTGCCTCCCTATTAGGATCCTCCAGTTGGGGGCACGTGGGTGAGATTGGGGGGCTGGAGAAGGTAGAAGGGACCTGCTCCTTGTTTGCTGAACATTCCTGCGAGTGTCACTCCAACAGCAATTCTTCTTCCTGGAAATGACTGTTCATTCCAGTTTCCAGCTGGTTCTAGTTTGCAGGTTTTTATCATTCTTTTTTAATACAGCACCAGCTTCACTCTACCTGTTCAGAGCACCAGCAACAGCTGAGTGGTGCTGCCTCCTCCACCACAGTTGGAGTCCCGGCCCCACGAGAACTTCCTCTGGGTTCAGAGACACCAGCAGGTTAGTGCCTCTCTGTTGTATTGGCCCCCTTCTCTCAACTCCTTAGTTTTGGTGTTTCCAGCCTCTTCCAGATGTCCTCCCAACTCATGCCTGCTCCCTGCACTTACTACTCAGTGTCCCTTTTTGCCTTTTATGGTGTTAACCGCTGGTATGTTTACTTTTCAAGTATGTTCACAAAATCTTTGATTTCCTTCCTTCAAGAGGTAGAGCTGAATTCCCCACTTGAGTGTAGGCTGTACTTAGTGACTTGCTTCTAAACAATAGAATGTGGGGACAGTGTTGGAGTTCATAAAAAACTTAGCGGCTACACTTAGTACTTCCTTGAATCACATGCTCTGGGAGAAGTGTGTTGTGCCACTGAGTGTGTTGAGGACATTCTAGCAGCCTATGCAAAGGCCTATGTAATGAGGAATGAGGCCTCCTGGCAACAGCCAGTAAGAAACTGAGGCCTCTGTCATATGAGGAAGATACCATTTTTTTTTAAAGATAGTATTTATTTATTTGACACAGAGAGAGAGAGCACAAGCAGGGCGAGTGGCAGGCAGAGGGAGAGGGAGAAGCAGGCTCCCCGCTGAGCAGGGAGCCCGACGTGGGGCTTGATCCCAGGACCCTGGGATCATGACCTGAGCCAAAGGCAGACACTTAACTGACTGAGCCACCCAGACAAGAAATAATGAGTGTTGGGGAGGATGTGGAGAAAAGGGAACCCTTGTGCACTATTGGTGGGAATGTAAATTGGTGCAGCCACTGTGGAAAACAGTATGGACGTTTCTCAAAGAATTAAAAGGAGAGCTACCATATAATCCAGCAATCCCACTTCTGGGTATTTATCCAAAGGAAGCAAAAGTACTAACTTGAAGAGATGTCTGTTCATATTCATAGCAGCATTGTTAACAATAGCCAAGACACGGAAGCAATCTAAGTATCCACTGATGTATAAATGGATAAAGAAATCGGGGCGCCTGGGTGGCTCAGTTGGTTAAGCGACTGCCTTCGGCTCAGGTCATGATCCTGGAGTCCCGGGATCGAGTCCCGCATCAGGCTCCCTGCTCAGCGGGGAGTCTGCTTCTCCCTCTGACCCTCCTCCCTCTCGTGCTCTCTGTCTCTCATTCTCTCTCACAAATAAATAAATAAAATCTTAAAAAATAAATAAATAAATAAATGGATAAAGAAAATGTGGTGTATATATACACAGTGGAATATTATTCAGCCATAAAAAAAGAAGGAAATCTCGCCATTTGCAACAACATGGATAGACCTTGAGGGCATTATGCTAAGTGAAATGTCAGAGAAAGACAAATATTGTATGATCTCACTTATTTGTGAAATCTGCAAAAAAAACCAAAACCAAACCAAACTCTCCCCTCCAAAAAACCAAACTCATAGATACAGTGAACAAATGGGTGGTTGCTAGAGGTGTGGGGGGGGGGGGGGGTAGGGGGTGGATGAAATGCGCGAAGTTATAAAATAAATAAGTCATGGAGATGTAATATAAGCATGGCTACTATAGTAAATAATATCGTATTTGTATATTTGAAAGTTCCTAAGAAAATAAACCTTAAATGTTCTCAAGGAAAAAAAATTTATAACTATGTGTAGTGATGGATGTTAACTAGACTTAAGGTGTTGCTCATTTCACAATGTATACAAATATAAAATCCTTATGTCACACACATGAAACTAATATAATGTTATATGTCAATTATATCTCAATTAAAAAAAAAAGAACTATAAACCAGGTGAATTAGCTACTTATTTCTAAGTAACAAATAACCCCCAAAAGTCAGTGGCTTAAAACAAACATCCGGAACCTTGCAGTTTGTACGGGTGAGGATTTCAGAAGCGCTGTAGCTACAGGGTTGTGGCTCAGGGCCTCCCATGAAGTTGTGGTCACAATGTCAGCAGGGGCTACAGTCATCTGAAGGCCTACCTGAGACTGGAGAGAGAGCTCACTCTCTCTTACTCTCTCTCAAATAAATAAATAAAATCTTTTAAAAAAAGAGAGAGATTAACATTTGTTTTTTTTTTAAGATTTTATTTATTTCAGAGAGAGAGCGCGTGTGCAAGCATGAGCAGGGGGAGGGGGAGAGAGAGAGAGAAGCAGACTCCCCACCGAGCAAGGAGCCCAATGAGGGGCTCAATCCCAGGACCCCGGAATCATGACCTGAGCTGAAGGCAGCCACTTAGCTGACTGAACCACGCAGGTGCCCCAGAGATTAACATTTAAATCAATAGACTGAGTAAAGCAAATTGACCTCCATAACGCGAGGAAGCCTCATCCAAGCAGTTGAAGGCCTGAATAGAACAGAAGACTGACTCTTCACTGAGTAAGAAAGTATTCTTCCAGTCTGACAGGCTTCGTTGAACTGGAACGTCCACTCTTCCTGATTTTACAGCAATTCCCAGCCTTCAGACTCAAACTGGGACGTTGGCTCTCTAGATTTTGGATTTGCTAGCTCCATAATCGTGTGAGCCAATTCCTTATCATAAATCTCTCTCTCACTCTCCCTGTCCCTTTCCCACCCTCCCTCTGTCTCTGTCTATGTGTGTATATATCTACAGATATCTCTAAATGGATGAGATAGATAATCTCCAGACCTGAAGGCTAAGTCCAGAAACAGTGGCCAAATCACTCCACAATCTCCGTTGGTTGAATTGGTACCACTGCTACTTCCAGATATTGTGATTTATCCCCTGACCACAAGACCAGGGGCCACTGTTGCCTCTGAAGCTGAGAGTTTCTGCTGCCATGCTGGTGAGGGTGGATTCCAGCTCTGGCTCCCGGCTTCTTGTGGAAGACCAGCACTAATGCTTCTGATTGACAGAGGCTGGGTCACGAGCCTGTACTCCAGCTGCAGAGCCTCTGCAAAAGTGATTATCTAGTCTCAATCTTAGAGAGGCATGAATTGATGAAATGGGATATTCCCAAACACTGGTAGGGGAAGGAGTCCAAGAATGTTGAGCAGCCATAAAGGGTAACAGATATTCATTGCAGCAAGGCTGGAAGGACAGAAGATGTTGAGTTTCTGAATAGTCAAGACCTACACCTCTCACTTCTGTCACACCCTGGGGCGCAGCAGGTCTCTTGATAAGGGTCAATGCATGGACAGGCTTGGAGCAAAGGAAGTGGTTGCTAAGAGTAGAGCCATCTAACTCAGATGGGGCATGGTTTTGGACTCAGTCTCTGAGCAAATCAGCAGTAATCACTGAGCAGAAAGCTAAAGGGCCTTTCCCAATTTTCTTGTATTATGGGAATCTGGGTTGTTATTATTTTGTTTTGTTTGTATGATTCCAATAGATGGGAAAGAACCCCCCCCAAAAGTTGACATTAGATTTACTGCCAAACTTGGTGAATGTAGACAATCAAAGGAATTCAAAGTTGATTTCTCTTTTGATAAAAGAGCAGGTAGAATGACCAAACTCCTTTCATCCTTTTGCTCCACATCACCATTATGTGGCTTCCACTACACTGGTCAAAATGGCTGCTGAAGTTCCAGCCATCAGGGCTCATTCCAGCAAGCATGAAGGAAGGGGGAGGGTAAGGAGAACTCATATTCTCCCCTTAATCACACTTCCAGGAGGCCATATAGATGACTTTTGCTTCCATCTCATTGGCCAGGACTTAGTCTGTGGGCACTCCTACCTACAAAGAGGCAGGCAAATATAGATTTTATTCTGAGCAGCCATATGCCCAACTAAAAATGTAGAGTTTTACTGCTAAGGAAAAAGTGGATAATGGCTATTGAGAGCAACAGGAAATTTCTGTCACAGTCAAGAGGCACATACACTAAAATGCTATCCACAATTATATCTGGAAGGTGAAAATACAGATGATTTTTAGTTACTTTATAGTTTTCCCTACTACTTGATTTAAAAAAAACTAACCATATATTTATAATCAGAAGGGAAATAGGCATTGCCACTCTTTCCAATCTGAAGGGGAAAACACAATATGAATAAAATAAGTGGTAAAATGATGTACCAGAGCTAAGGCAATTTTTAAAGAAATACCTCTGCTCTCAGGAGGGCTTACGCAATGTTCCCAAGGAAATAAAACTTCCCTGGAAATGCAGCTCCCTTTAGCAACCCGATCATGGTTCTCTCCACCTACAGATAAGATCTTGTCCTCCCCAGAATGCCACAAGGATCTGTTTGGACTTGTCATGGCACAGGGCATGTTTGGCACTGACGTATATGTTCTTGCCTTAGTCCTGGTATCACCCGGCCACATTCCATGGGTGCCGGGCATCTCCCTGCACTGTGAATGCTGCCGCATGGGCTGCAGCTTCACTAAATATTTATTAGATGGTGTCAAATCCAGGCTGTCTTCACATCTTAATTCCCCTAAATGATTTGCAGTTGATAAGATCTGAGTAGATGTGGAAACCTTGACAAACTTGCCCAAGAATGAGCAAGTCCTATGAGATCCTTGGCGGTCAAAGATGTCGAGAGCTTTGGAGATTTGCTACACTTGTGTAAAATCCATCTTGACTTTCATTCCCATTCTCCTCCTCACCATCCCCACCCAGGTTCTTATCTCCTCTCCAAATCAGAGTCTTTGAAGATCAGATTGGAAAGAAGACTTCTTTTCCTCTTTGGGGGTCTGACATCAACCCCAGAACTTTAGCTGAGAACTGAGAATCCGCCCAATTCAAAGTAGAGTTTCCAACTGATTTTTATTCTCAGAGAGTCAAGGTGGATGTTAATAATTAATGTTGAGCAATATTCTACTACTAAATAGTGGCACCAACTCAAGATCAGTTTACTAACATAATATTTTCATATGTTCTGGAACAAAGACAGACACAGGGATATTGCCATCTCCTTCCCTTCTCCCTCCCCAGAGGTAACCATTCTCATGAATTTGAAGTGTTAACCTTCCTGTGGGTGCTGTTATATCCCCATTTTACAGGTAAAGAAAATGAGGCACAGGTTGATAAAGGAATTTGCCCAAGGTCACACTTTAGGGAGTTGTGGAACCAGTACAGACAGGTGATAAG